CTCTGGATCAGCTCCAGGATCTTGTTGTATTGTTTCTTGTCAATCTCAAGAGAGAAAGTGGGGGGGGGGAGGAAGAAAAGGAGAGGCCGGGTCAGACCCACCTGGCATCCCGGCAGGATCAATTGCAGGGCACCAAATCGGGGTCTCTCAGGCGCCAGCTGTGGTTCCCTGCCTCTTTGGCCCCTGGACTCTGGCACAAGCCGGAGGGACCCTAACACCCTCTCGCCCGATGGCCAGCCAGGAAACCCCCAGGCATTGGGACGGCCCCGCCATGGAGACGGTGACCTTCCTGCCTCTGGTAATCCACCGGGTTTAAATAAACCTTGTTCTTTTGTTTAGTAAAATCCATTCCTGGTCTGTGTGACTTCTTATAGGGAATGGTTGGTGGCAGCATATTTATAGTGTGGCTTACTCCAGTAGGTCTGGGGATGTCACAGCTCCTACTAAAGGAAACTCATTTTTCTTCTAATAAAATATTTTCTTATGAATCAGAGAGAATCTGTTTTTCAGGAGTATAGAACAAGTGGTATTATTTAGCACTTGGAATAAATAGTCTTAATGAAGTATATTCGAATCTCATGTTTGAATTTTATTTAAAAGGGTATTCACATTGATATTATTGCCTATTATGAGCATATATCTTGGATGCAGTTTAGGCAACAGAGAAGAATTCATTGTAGGAACTTATATATTGCTAATATTGAAGTTACTTGACTGTTAAGTTGTTGTATGAGATAGCTGTATTAGTCAGTTGTAGCAAAAACAGCCACATGAAGGTGTATTTTGAGCTAGTGAAAGTCATTTTATTTTTACCAACACGAGGCATGTCATTTTCTGTTACCTACTTACTGCATTTCCTTGTGGCCCTTTTAAAAAGTGCTTCTGAAAATGCTGGGATCGTCAGAATTGTAAAGAACATGGCACAGAGGCTGCGTTAGACAGTATGTTGGTGAAAATGTTGTGCTGCATTTTATTTGAGAATCATTCCAATTAATGTAAAGCTACAATGGATGTAGCATGCAATAGTCCTCTTCACTTACAAGTGTGTAACAGATCTTCTCAGGCACTCCAACAACGAGCCTGTTACCTATGAAGTAGTTATTAAAAAGTTCAAAAGAAATTCTGACTCACAGAATTCTTAACAATTGTATATCAAACGTATATATTACTAATATTGAAGTTAGGTAAAGATAAAGGTTGCCCTTGATGTTTTTAGTCCAGTCGTGTCCGACTCTAGAGGGCGGTGCTCATCCTGTTTTCAAGCCGTGGAGCCAGCACTTGTCTGAAGACAGTTTCCATTGTCACGTGGCCAGTATGACTAGGGAATGCCGTTTTACCTTCCCACCGAGGTGGTACCTATTTATCTACTCGCATTCACATACTTTCAAACTGCGCGGTTGGCAAGGAGCTGGGACAAAGCAACCAGAGCTTACTCTGTTGCGTGTATTCGATCTTATGACTGCTAGTCTTCTGACCCTGCAGCACAAAGGCTTTTGCGGTTTAGCCCGCAGCGCCACTGTTAAGTTGTTCTATGAGATAGCTGTATTAGTCTGTTGCAGCAAACCAACATTGAAACTAACTAGTTTGGTTTAAAATAGGCCTTCATGGCAGCAGCCCACTTCTGTTGCAGCTTTTCTGAGCTGCTGTCCATGAAAGCTTTTGACAAATAACAGTTGTTAGCTTTAAAGATGCCACAAGATTTTTTTGTGGATTCTTGAATATATTCCTGGGCCTAAATCAGATTGAACCGCTTCAAAGGTTGATAGGTTACAAATTTTACTTTTGTATTTACAATATTTTATGATACATTATAAATTCTGTGTTCATCTTACAGTAAAAGTGAAAAGAATTTAAATACAGAACTAGACAGAATGCTGTAAAAAGAAAGTATTACCGGTACATAAATGTTATATAAGGGGCTAAACTACACAAATTATTTAAAAGGTCTAAATGAACAAAAATATATTTATCAGGTGCGAAAAAGACCACAAAGATGGTGCCAGGTGAACTTGTTCAGTAAAATGGATGCCACTACTGAAAAGACAGTGTGTATTCACCTTGCTGGAAACTTAGACTAAGAGTTACATAGAAGGTGAAAAAAAAGCCATGTGGTCCTTATGCATCCTCCAAATGTAAGGATAGATGATACCTGTATCAGATCATGAAAAACTCTCAAACAATTATAGCTTTTGGCCTATATGAACCTTCCTCAGCACATCTGATGAAGGCCCACATAGGCCGAAAGCTAGCATTTGTTCGTGATTTTAGTGGTTCCAATAGGGTATCACCTATTCTTCAGTTTATAGGCTAGACGTTAGTGTCACACAAAGACTACAGCTGTAATATGGCCTGATAGCTCAGGACCCATTAATAATCTTGCACTCCTTTTCATTTTATAGATCAGTGGCAGTTTGCAAACTATTTATAAAGGCAGCTTCAGCTATAATGCATTACCACATTATATTGTAGTCGTTTCTTCAGTATTAGACTACCAATTAGGTTATGGCCTTGTGGTCTCTGCGCAGGTAATAATACTGCTTCTGTTGTATGAGCCAAATGCAACAAAAAGTCCTCTGACTGCAACCATGGTTTTTAAGTGGGAGATTGGCACAATCTCCCACTTAAACTATGGAACGCCCTCCCGACTAAAATTCGTCTGGCGCCGACACTGATGATATTTCGGTGCCAGGTCAAAACCTTCCTGTATAAATAAATAAATAAATAAATCCCAGAATAGCCTCAACACTCTTCACCTGACACCATTCATCAACCGCAGGGCTGCCTGTCTCTTTTGATAAGTTTCAATTTGTTCACTTCATTACTGTGCCATGTGATATTTGATGACAGTCATAAATTTGCCTATATCTAATGACAAAGAGAAGATTTACATCTTAGACTAAATTTCTGAATAAGCTCTCACAAAATGTTCATATAGTTGTTAAATAACATAAGGCAAATAGGTGAACTTCCAAGGGTTGCATGATTTATCTCTACAGGTATCATAGTTTGAAAGACATCTTTCCAGCTTTACTCTTCTCATTTGCTGTCAGTCTTTATTTCTCCTGAGGATTTTGTACCTGGAATTTGAGTGTGGGACTGTATATGTCATGTTCGTTACTCCTTTATTAGATAATCAGTATGGTGGAGTGGATAGAGTGATGGTTTAGGACTCAGGATGCCTGGGTTCAAATCCCCCACTCAGCCATGGAAGCTTACTGGTAAAGCCACTCCTTAAATATCTCACTTGCTTTGAAAGCCCTATTTAGGTTGCTATAAGTCCATTACAACTTGACAGCACATAATAATAAATGGTTTGATCAAACTTTTGTGGCTAAGGTGCAGCATGTTGTAGTATGTTACTTTGACTGACTTTGGCTGGACACTTGCTTCTTCCCTCTATCTCATCTCCTTGTTTTCCTTTCAGTTAAGACCCTGTCCTTCTGCTGTCCCATTTTTCTCCACCTGTGAGTAGTATTATTGGCTAGCCTACAGATGGACTGATCAGAGGTGTTGACATTTAGTGTGACTCTTGGACTTTTATGATTTTTAGCAGGCTCAGAACTGGCTCAAAAGACGTGCTGGCTTTGATGCAATAAAAAGCATTAGCCTTTGGATAAAACACTAGGCAATTCTGTCTAAAGTCTCCATATTTGTTTCTTGCATAGTGCTGTATTCTTACTGGATGATGTCCTAATATTTTGTATAGTTCATTTGACTTTTTGCTTATGCTATCTGTGATGCTCACAGTCCTCTTGTCTGCCTTGATCATTGTGTAACAAGACTTCTCTGCATGCTGCTTTTGGAATATAATCCCTTGGTTTACATACATACTGACAAAAAACATTGGATTTTTAAAGAAGAGAAATAGCCCAAATGCACATAAATAGCCAAAGTTCCATATGCTTCTGGGACAGTAATGTTCTGTTTACTATTACAATACTTCATGTCAGTTCTTAATACTGCACTTGTTTAACATTTTTCCGTTTGTAAGAACGTTAATTTGTAGAAAAATATGAAATTAAGGGTGCTTAGTAAATTCTCCAAGAGTGTTGAAATGGCCAGTATTTTGTTGCAGGCATCCAAGATCCATGCAGGAAAGGAACTGTTAATATGTGATGATGTGTTTTCTAATTGTAGTCAATTTAAGCATGCATTATACTATTCATGTCTAAGATGCATTTTTTTTTTCTAGAGGAAAATGCATCTGACCTGTGTTGTGTGATCTCATGTTTGGTTCAAGTCATGATGGATTCATACTGCAGAACAAAGCTAGGATTTCAGAGCCTTATTCAAAAAGAATGGATTATGGGAGGACATGCTTTCTTGGATCGTTGCAACCATCTGCGGCAAAGTGATAAAGAAGAGGTATAACTTTACTGACAAACAGAAGTCCTCAGGTATTCTGAGCACATGAAGGAGGTGAATACTAAAGTAGAGAGAAACTGAGAATCCAAACTAGAAATCTTGCATAACTGTTGAGATTTTAACCAAATATTGGTTTGTTCTTGTCAAATTCTTTCTCCACCCTTCTTCTGAATCCTGAAGCAGCAAAACTAAAACATTTTCCAGTAAACAAGATTCAATATAAACTATGCTCATTTGAAATGATATTCTTCTGCATGTCTTCATTGCATTCAGGCCTTGCCCATCATAAGATGATGCATTTTATTCCGTCATTATCAAAATAGGATAGGCCAGGGTAAGGATAATATGGAGACACTTGCCATAGAAGGTGAAGAGGGAATCAAGTAAGATCCTTGAGTGTGAACAGTTCTGGGAATCCTTTGAGGTTGAAGAGTATGATAGTAATGGATGAAATAAATTTTCAAAGGGCAGAGTCTCTTGTTCATAGCTGTACCTAAAGCTTTTGCTTTTGACTGCAGTGGTAAGTAGAAAAAAAACTTACTTGTATTGATTGACTGGCTTTCACATAAATAAAACAAAAAACAAACACCAGGAGATAAATTCCAACAGAAAACAATCCAGTCAGGACACAAAATTGCAGTGCACTGCATTAGTCAAAGTAAGAATAGGTAGGAAAATATAATAATTTAACAATCTTAACTAACGTTCTCAGTTTAATTAAATAAAATATCTTATATTTCTTTTCACTGTTTTCAGTACTGTAGTGCAAACAATAAAAAGTTATAATTATTAGACAACAGGGCACAGTGTAATTTCATAACTTGTAGAGCTCATGAAAAGAGAATTGCAGTGAATCAAATACAGTGGTGCCTCGCATAGCGATCGCTCCGTTGAGTGACGAAATTGCTTAGCGACTAACTTTTTGCGATCGCAAAAGTGATTGCTTTGCGATGGTCCCTATGGGGTTTTTTTTGCTTTGCGATGATCACGGGGAAGCGATCATGGCAAAGCGACCCTTTTTTAACAGCTGATCGGCAGTTTCAAAATGGCCACCGGGAAAACAAAATGGCTGCCCACTGTTTTTCCTCGCTTTAGAGGCACCCAAAGTGGCCACCCCTATGGAGGATTTTCGCTTAAAGATGAGTTTTTAAGCCCATAGGAACACATTAATCACGTTTTAATGCATTTCTATGGGCTTTTTAATATTGCTTAGCAAAGAAATCGCTTAGCAACGGTTTTTCCAGAACGGATTAACGTCGCTAAGCGAGCCACCACTGTAGCTGCTATGAAGACTGAAAGACAATGCTCACCCTCAAGCATACACTTAGGGTAAAGCATTCAAACCTCCAATTAAATAATACAAATCTTCACCAGATAAATGCCTTATAAACTTCCAATTGAAATCTTTAGTAAATGTTTAAAACAAAACATAGAGATAATGGATCAATTGCTGTGGTGTATAGCCATAAACATGTATTAGCTGAGTGTAAAAGAACTAATAAGTTTAAGTTTTTATACACCGGTATATGCTTAAAGGAGCAAAATCAGATTGTCACAGGTGACCTTTCTGTATAATTTTCCCTAATCCTAAGCCTTAATTCCCTAACCCTAACCCTTAACTATATAAAACAGATAAGAAAAAGATAAAAGGGAAGAATATCCAGTTACATTGCTGACCAGTTGAAATTCATCTGGTCTTTTAGTCTCAGAGACAGAGAGAGAGAGAGAGAGAGAGAGAGAGAGAGAGTAACGGAACAGGAAATAGAGGTAATGTAATGATGTCTTCATGTAACTATATCATGGGCTTTAAATCAAAAGCCTGCCTGAATCAAATGATCTCAGAGCTTCATTTAAAAATGATTAGAAGACACAGGATGAATTTCCTTGGGTAGATGTTCTACAGTTTGGTATCACAGCTGAAGAGTGTCATTATACCAGATCATACTACTGTTGACTGATCATTGCAGAAGAGCCTTACAAATAAATACAGATCAGGGTGGGTTCAGTGTTTATAAATAGACCACATTAGCTACTTTACTGTACTCTATCTAAGTGCTTCTAAGTATGCTTATTTTAATTTTGTTTTATTTTAGGCACCAGTCTTCTTATTGTTCTTGGATTGTGTATGGCAGTTGGTTGAACAGTATCCACCAGCATTTGAGTTTTCAGAGACTTATCTTACTGTTCTGTCAGATTGTTTGTATATTCCTGTATTCAGCACTTTCTTCTTCAATTCACAACATCAGAGAGACACCACTATGGTAAGACAATAGTTAGGAGTGTGGTGCATCATAGAAGTGTGTTTGGATGCTGTTGGGCTTTCTGTGATTTTTATAATTGTGGTATACTTTGAGTCCCAACAGTCTTGTAAAGGTAAAGGTTCCCCTTGACATTTTTAGTCCAGTCGTGTCCGACTCTAGGGGGCGGTGCTCATCCTGTTTTTCAAGCTGTAGAGCCAGCGCTTGTCCGAAGACAGTTTCCGTTGTCACGTGGCCAGCGTGACTAGGGAGCGCCATTTTACCTTCCCACCAAGGTGGTACCTATTTATCTACTCGCATTCACATACTTTCAAACTGCTAGGTTGGCGAGGGGCTGGGACAAAGCGACAGGAGCTCACTCCATTGGGTGGATTTGATCTTACGACTGCTGGTCTTGTGACTTTGCAGCACAGAGGCTTCTGCGGTTTAGCCCACAGCGCCACCACGTCCCAATAGTTTTGACACTGCTCTAAATAGAGGAATCTTACAGCTTGTTTATGTCTGTATTAGAGATGGGGGTATTCGTATACGAATATCCCTGCACAGTTGGACTTAATGAGGGTCCAGACCGTCCACTCATGCATCTGGCAGTGGCAGCCTTGCTCATCCTTCCAATCGTGTCCAGAGCTCCTCTCTCTTTCCGCTGAGCTGGCCACTCAGCAGCTGTGCAGGGAGACTCGTTCTCCCTCCCCCTGCTGGAGTGGCTAGCCGAGTGGGAAGAGAGCGCCTCTCTGGGAGTGATTGGAATGCTGAGTGAGGCTGCCACCACCACCGGGCACATGAATGGACGGTCCAGCCCCAGGGGCCAGACCCTAATTAAGTCCAGCTGCGGGGGAATATGTATACCCCCATCTCTAGTCCGTATATAATATTGTTCCGAATATATGGCATGATGTTACACTGTATACTAAATACCTACCTCTTTCCATTGTAAACCTTCTCAACCCTGTTCTTGTTTCTGATACTTTATCACACATTGTTTATATCTTTTCAAGCCTTTTTGCATCTATAATATTTTCAGAAATGGCTATGAAACTCTGCAGTGTAACTAACATCATAAGTTCTGCATTGAGAAGTACAGGGTCAACATAAAATAATCTTACATTCTGTCCTGCTTGATTGTGTTCTCCTCTAAGGCTATGCAAAATTTATTAAGCAAAATGAAGTATCAAAAGCGAAGCAGTTGCTCTAAAGAGCTACACTGGAGAAATAATATTTGTAAACTCTAATTTCAGCCTCTTTTATCCCAATAGTATGGAGGAAGCCTTGACACACAAGGAAGCAAACTAAGTTATTGTTCAGTTTGGAATTGGTCAGTGCAGTTTGAACCCGAGGCCCAAGCTTTTCTTAATAATCCTTTGTACGCAGAGAAGCCGAAGCTAGACAGAAGTCAGAGGAAAACTACACGGTTCAAGGTAAGATCACCCACTGTTCAGACAGTCTTGAATACATGAATTTAAGCAGTTTGTTTATGCAAGTGTCAGAAACACAATGAAGGTTTTAAAAAGCCATTTATTTCTGCATGAAGAATCACCCAGGAGGTGTGAGTCTTCATTTGGTATTTCACCAATACACTTCTTATTTATACCCCAATTAGGCTTTTTCCAAAACTTAGAATGATTTTCTGGCTAGGTCCAGAGGGAAGAGTGTGGTTTTTAGAGGTCTGGGAGTAAAGAATTGGGGCAGACTTCCAAATCACTCAAATATTTTGTATATAATTAACTCACGGCAAGATAAAAAAAAATTAGTAGGCCATTCTTAAAGTTAGAAACTGTATTTCCTAGTCTCCTGGGTTACTTTTAAATGTAAATCATTATTTAACTAAAAATATGCCATCTTACAGAGAGAGAATTCTCAAATGATATTTTAGCAGGCAAGAACCAATCCCTAAAGTAGTGGTTCTTTTTTGTAGCCTCTGTGAATGCACACAAATGGGTTGTTCTGCACCTGTGCATAACGTTTCAGACGTTTCTAGAACTTAAAAACATGTGACAAAGGATGTTCCCCCATGGAGCGCATGCTCTGTCCTCCCAAAGTAAGAATCTACCACAGCCATCATTCAACGTGCACGGCTCAAAATGAGATCACTACAAGCATGGTTCCTGTCACTATTCAACCCCATGACAGATCAACAGTCCAAACGTCTCACAGTAACACCAGAACTTGCCAGTCAATTTACCTGGTGGACGTTCCTCCCTCATTTAATAGTGGGCAGACCTTTCCAACCTCTACAGCTATCCATACAAGTCACTACCGATGCAAGCGCATCAAGATGACGAGTCCACTGTCGACATCACAGACTACACAGCCTGTGGAAGAAGCAAGAACAATCATTACATATCAACCATCTGGAACTTTTGGCAAAGGCTTTCACGCGTTCCTACCACTCATTGCAGGAAAAGCAATACAGATAGCTACAGACAACACCACAGTGCTGTACTATGTCAACAAACAAGGAGGTTCCCACTCCCTATCACTTCTATATCTTGCATTAGAACTGTAGGAATGGTGCTACCTCCACCACATTTTCCCAGTGCCTGTCCATGTCTCAACAAATGACAACTGTCTTGCAGATCGCCTGAGTCGTCTTACCACAGGGACACACAAGTGGGCACTGAACGACAAAGTGTTCAATCTTCTTTGCCATCAATGGAGACTCCCGCCCATCAATCTCTTTGCCTCAGAGTCCAACACCAAATGCCAACGCTATTGCTCTCGACCTGGCATCGACCCAAAATCACTTGGTGATGCGCTTATGACGGACTGGACTGGAGAACTACTCTACCTGTTCCCGCCAATCCCTCTCATTGAAAGATCAGTTACTCGACTACGACAATCCCAAGCTGATGCCGTCCTCATGGCCACGTAACCCATGGTTCACCCATCTAAGATCGATGTCGATCCTCCACCCTGATATCCACTCTCTGAACCTGACAGCTTGGATAATACTCCCACCATTTGAAGTGTCCTAGATCGGGCTCGAAAGCCCATCTACCCAAAAGCTGTATCAAAATAAATGGAAATCCTTCATCTCCTTCACTCACTGTTAGAGAAAGTTGCAGTTCCATTTTCTCTAAGAACGCTACTTACCTTTATCCATAATCTCTTCGATCTTGGGCTATCTTATTCTACCTTGAAAGTTTATATCTCGGCTATTGTAGCCCAACAGCCCTCTTACTCCCAGTCAGCGAGACTTTTCTCACATCCAACTTTAAAAAGATTCCTCAAGGGACTCCAAAATATTCAACCTCCAAGACAGCAACCTCTGGTTCAGTGGTCTCTACAATTGGTCCTCAATTACCTCACCAGACAACCTTGCAAACCAATGGCCATCTGTAATCTCAAGCTATTGTCTCTAAAGACAACGTTCCTTGTGACAATAACATCAGCCAAACAGGCCGGTGAATTAGTGGCCCTCAGATCAGACCCACTTTATCTCCAATTCCATCTGGACAAAGCCACCCTATATTTCTATGTATCATTTCTACCCAAAATTGTCTCTGATTTTCACTTGAATCAACCATTAGTTTTACCAAATCTGTTTCCTTCTCCTTCTACACCCATCGAGCGCATGCTCCACATGTTGGATGTCAGACGGTCTTTGGCTTTCTACATTAATAGAACAAAGATATTCAGAAAGTCCCCAAAATTCTTTATATGCTTCCAAGGCCTTCATAAGGGTGCTCCAGCAGCATCCCAAACAATCTCCCGCTGGATTGTTCAGTTGATTTCATTAGCTTACGAGCTTTCAGGCAAGACACCTCCTGAACACTTAGAAGCTCATTCCACCAGAGCATTATCAACTTCCACTGCTGTGGAATAGAACTACCGCACATCTGCTGAGCAGCTACCTGGTCTGTTCCTTCGACCTTTGTAAGGCACTATACACACTTAAAAGCTCATTCCACCAGAGCATTATCACCTGGTCTATTCCTTCAACCTTTGTAAGGCACTATCACCTTGATATCCGGGCAAAGAATGATGCTGCATTTGGCAAGGCGGTCCTGACATCTCTTCTACTGTGACGTCCCACCATCCGGTAAGTGAGCTTGTCAGTCACCCATTTGTGTGCATTCACAGAGACCAAGAAGAAGAAAGAGAGGTTACCTACCTGTAACCATGTTTCTTCTAGTGGTCCTCTGTGAATTCACACATCCCTCCCTTCCTCCCCTCTGTCTGTCATGTTGTCTTTAATACACTACCTTGACAGCAGTGGATCATTGAAGGAACTTAGGGGACTTTGGGAGGGCGGAGCATGTGCTCCACGGGGAAACATCTCATTATCACATGTTTTAAGCTCTAGAAACTTCCTGTGCAGGTGCAGAACAACTCCTTTGTGTGAATTCACAAAGGACCACTAGAAGAACCATGGTTACAGGTAGGTAACCTCTCTTTCCAAAATCTTGGATCCCCAGATGTTCTTGGACTACTACTCCCAGAAATCCTACAACACCAGGACAGCTTCTGGGAATTTTAGTCCATGAACATCTGGGGACCCAAGGTTGGGAACCATTGCCCTAAAGAGTTTGCAGTCATGGGCATGCTAGATGAATGCTCAAAGGTATGACTGTAGCAAAACACTGATAATCATGGAATATGTTTCTTGATTTGAGCGGTGTGCATCCTTTTTGAAGCATAATGGCTTATGTTCTCTTTTATGAAGACATTGTAGTCCGCCAGAACCATTTACAGTTTCATAGACAAAACCAGCTGGGACAAAGAGTGTCCCAAGCAATTAATTGTTTTTTGTCATTGGAGTACTTCTTTGTCTTGGCTGATGTAACCTAGTAGGAGAAAAATTCTATGTTTTGGCAAACCATGATGACAGAGAAGCAGAAGTGGTTTTTAGTAGGTTGGTCCTATTCTGAGCTTGGAAGCACACTGGAAGTCTTGGTGCTGGAGATACAAGAATCATATGTTAGACCCACAAACCTAGGCTTATCGGTAGCTTTCAATACAGCGGGATGCCAGTGGGGTCAAAAAATACCCAGAAATTAAAGGAAAAGTTTTTATTTTAGAAGCACAAGTTGATATTAATAAAATATTTTCAGCCTTATCTGAGTAGTATTCACTTTAACTCAGCAATTACTTAATTGAGCAGATTTAACTAGATGGTTTTACTAATATACTAAACAGTAAAATACAAAGATGTGGCCATTCTGTGGACATGGATGGATTACAGGGACAGTATTACTAAAGCTAATTCAAATGTAGATTGACTTTCTGACATGAAAGAGTAGAGGTGGCTAATATAGTCAAGTATTAAAGTTTTTGGTGTGTAAAGATTGTTCAACATTCCTTTTATATATAAATTGTGATTCTGTCAATGTTACTAAGGTCAATAAAACTTTGTTTTCTGTTAACAACAGCCCAATGTCTTGAAAAAATCTTTTGGCAGTGGTACCACAATTTGAAATGATCACTACAGAGACAACTATATAGCCCAGAAACTAAGCTGGAATGGTGTTCAGACTATTTTACTTTGTCTTTTACTATTCTAAAACGGTTTCTCTTGTTTTCTTTAAAGCATCAGCGACAGCTTTCTTTGCCTCTGACACCAACGAAGCCTCCTCCAAAAAGAGGCTTTTTTAAGGAAGAAACAGACCAGTTAATTAAAAATCTTCTGGGCAAAAGAATCAGCAAGTTAATAACTTCTTCTGATGAACTTCAGACTAATTCCAGAGAGTTTTATGACAGTTGGCACTGTAAACCTGTTGACCTCCATGGACTACTGCTGCCACGTCTAGAAGGACCAGAAATAAAAGTGTGGGCACAGAGATATTTACGATGGATCCCTGAAGCTCAGGCGCCTGGTGGTGGAACAGTGGCCACTGCGACTAAAATCTTGGATGTGATGGAGGATGTGCAGGGCTTGCAGAAGAAAGTGGATGAAAAACACAGTGAAATGGTTGCTGAAGAAGAAAATGCAGAAGTTTCTCCATTCTTGAGAAATACTGCTCGCTTGTCATCCTTATTTCCATTTGCCTTGCTTCAGAGACATTCCCTCAAACCAGTTTTACCTACCAGCACTTGGAAAGACTTAGAAGATGAAGAGGATTTAGCCAGAAGAGATGATGAGTATGTTGAGTTAGGTGATGTTTGACATGACACTGTAGAAATCCAAGTGCTGGCAGATTTCATTCAAAATATCATATTTCATTCTAAATATCTACTGTATATCAGTTACTGGTGGCTTCTCCTTTTGGCTATATTCTGACTAAAACTAACAAAGCTTTTATTGCAGGAAGGTCTCTTCATTTGACAACACTAATGTATGTTCTAGATGAGTTTTGATCAGTTTTAATCTATAGCTGTGTTCTGCGGGGCTCAGTTGAAAAATAAATTGAAACAATGGATTGGATCCAAACTCCCTGTGGAGGAAGATTGTGGCGATTCCTACATGCAGTACCTAGACGTTGTTCTTGAAAGGTCAGTTCCCTGGGGACCAGCATTGGAGCTGATGCTGGAATCTGAAAGGGGACTTTGTAGAATTGACTCTAATGGAACCCATTTACTGGATCTTGGTCTCTTAGGTAAATGCAAAGAGGTTTTCATCTGTTCCCAAAAAAGGTTCAGTATTAGTGTAGATTTAATTTTGACTATATATGGGGTAAAGACAGCATGTGTGCCCTAGCATGAAAGGGTGTCCTAAAAATATCCACTATAACTTGAAAATGGCCTGGAGTAAGATATGAAACATCTTAGTGGTTACATCTTAAAATATATAGTTTCATTGTTCAGTAAAAGAGAACTTTCTTAAGAGAACCAGATCAGTTTTTTTAAAATAGACTTGAATTTTAAGGTTGTGGCCTTTTTAATCTTAAACTAGAGATTATCTTTATCATGCATTCTGCTTGTTCTACTTATCGATTCTGTTACAGATTTATAGATCATGGGAATATTTTAATGAAGCTGTCTTGAGCTCTGTTAGTATGAATATCTTGAAGTCACCAGCCCTCTCTTCCCTATCTCTTATTTTCCACCATTTGTGTTCTGTTTTGGGGTGTGAAGTTCTAGTCACTTATTGCCAAGAACAAGAAAGGGTTGAATGTAAAGATACCAGTAAGCCAGAATGTTTCCTCTAATTGTGTAGGTCGCTCTTTCTCAATGCTGGTAGCATGCACTGATTCTCATGTCTTTCTTTTATGAAGGGCAACTAAAGAGGTATATTTAGCTATGAAACTGGATTTTTCATCCAGTACTACTGCTTTCTATAAAAATAGCATTAAAACTAATTATGAATGTAGGAAGTCTTTGCATTGGCATTGTGTTTGTGAATATTGTCATAACAGTACCTCCACTATAAAAGCCATATGGAAACCTGACTGTCTATTCCAAATAGATCATTATGCTCTGAAAAGAGACTTGGGGAAGTTGAGAAGATGAAGATGCATTTGTGGAAATCCTGTTGCTTAGTATAGTAAGTTGGAGCTAGAGTACAGCCCACTGAACGAGTGGGATTTACAGAGGAACTTGGTCCCCATTGATTCAATTGAATAACTCTAGGTGTGACTTACTATGCTAAGCAACAGAATTTCAGCCATAAAGTCAGAAGTTGTCCATATGATTAAAACTGTCTAACAAGCCTTTTGGAGAGGGTTGCAGTTTAATTGATACTATAGTTGTAGGTGATTATTGAATTGCCTCATAATTCTATGTGCCACTCTTAAGTGTTGCCTTGAAATGTATCTCTGGGTACTGCAATCTTGGTACCCTCATTTAAGCTGTATTGGGGGCTAAGACTAGCCTTCAAAAGTATTTCTAAAAGAATGGGTAATATGTTGGTGCAGACAAATGCAAAATGGAACCTCGGAAGTCCATGATGCCTTATGAATCTTCCTACTGCAAGCTTCCTGAGCTTTCAGTTTCTCTGAAACACAGTAGATTTATTTGTATTATGAGCCTTCTGAAAGCAGGTGTTGCACATTTTTTCTTTCAAATGTCTTTTACCATTTATGCAATAACAGCTCCTCTGCACTAATTCTGGACTGTTTTATAGCTGCTTGGATTATTATTTGAATTCACTTAAACACTAATATTAGAAATGCTTCATTAAAAAACCGTTTCTTTGACAGCTAGACAGTTGTAAATATATCAATTGTGGAACTGTATTTATATTTAAGCTGTCAACTGTGTATCTATAGAAAATTCAGATGGATATATGGAGGGATTTTTATAATAGCTTTTAGAACTGCTCTGTTCTAACAGGAATAGGAATAGTAATGAGATTGTCAGAATGCAACACTGTTCAAATTTAATATAATTTAATTTAATTTACTGACTTTTTCTAGGTGTTTGGTTTATACCTCCCAGTTTTTACACTGAATACAAGCTTAGCTTTAGCAATATACAATATAAGGAACAATGCCTCCCTGTTAACTCTTTGTAGACTATTTGAACAAATTTATTTGCTAATAAAATTTACTTTTATTGTTTCTAACTTGAAAAAAATGCTGTCTTCTTGGTGGTTCATGTGGTTATTATAGAAGCAGTTATGTTCTAGCTGGGTTTGGTGTCCTCCTTTTTACAGGTAAGGAAACATGAGCACAGATAAGTGGGAAACAGCTGCCTTCTGTAGATCTAACCCATGCCATCCTCTGTGACTGATGGCTTTGTAGGGTCTCTTCAGACTTTCTTACTAGAGAGAAAAGGGTCTTAAGCAAAGTGTGGGCTCTAACTTTATGTATGGCTTTTCATATTTATTTTCATATTTCTTTAAGAATAATAAAATTGACAGTATCTTATCAAATACAATAATTCTTCTCAAAGTTTTCTAGGTATAAAGTGCTCAAAAGTGATTTGCCAGTCTTGCCTGGTGGTATTATGGGTTCATGTAGCTTGCCCAAGGCTGCAGAGATTGCAGGGCACATAACTCCATCAGCCACACACACTTTGAACAATCTAGCCTGCTCCTTCCTCTGGAAGCACAGTGGGGATTCAAATTCCTCGTCCTTGGTTTCACAGCCAGATTCTCTAACCTACTGAGTTATCTTACACTTAGAGAAATGTAGGATTATATAAATCTTCCGAAGGTTGGCACAATTATCTGTTTCTCGCTAATTTTCTTGTAACTTGCTGAGAAATGCTATCATTTGGCTAAGAATCAAGACATAACTTTTCTTAGCTAAGAACTCAAAGTAGTATTTAATCTAGGTTCTTGTACTGACTGAAGTTGGATCTGATCATTTTGTGCTGCAACACACTGGCCAAAAATCTTGTTGCCTAGCTATGCCTGTGTAACTTGAAGTTGCATAAGCCATTGCAAAATTTCTACCAAATTAAATGTCCCATCCACGAGGTAGGCAGTTCTGCAGCTGCAGTTCTGCAACTAGCTGTGCAATCAGACATAGACGGTCTTGATGTAACTCCTTGCGAACTTTTACAGGTGTATAGGATTTCATCCACTACTTCCCATGCACAGTTCACTCATTTCTCATACTAACCCTACTAAAATTATTATATATACTAGAGGATCAGTACTGCTTCTGTTTTATATACATATATAATTTTTAATATATGTATATAACAGTTATTTTCTACTGCAGCTGAACTTGTAGCATAGCTTTCAAAGTACTGTATCCCAAAACTCAATGGGGAAAATCAGACCTTACATTTGGTTATTGCTGCAAGTACACATGCAGAATTGCTTTTATGTGTTTTTTATTTTATTTTTTTATTTTTTAGCTATTGCCAGGAAAATTACCTAATTACATAATATGGATGCCCATTATTATGTTAACAAAGTGCATAGAGATACTTCTAAGATTGATTGGTTGATTTGATTTTTACACTGCCCATTTTGCTGCCAAGGTCACTCTGAGGGGTTTACAACATTATAACGTAATAACCATTTAAAAACAGCAAACATAGTAGCTATAAAAAATAAACACATACACCAAAAAACACAAAATAATTTGAGGTAGTTTAAAGTCAAGGTGGCAGAACTGACAGTATAAATGTTAAAACAACCACTGTGTTACGATATTATAAGGTCTGGAAAGGCCTGTCTAAAAAGCCATGTTTTCAATTATCTAGTTCTGCTTGTTCAGAAGGGTGTGCACTTTTCTCAGAACTTAACTGTTCTTAGATGTAAAGCATATAGATAGGTCATCTTGGTCATATGCTACAGCAGTGGTTCCCAACCTTGGGTAACCCAGGTGTTCTTGAACTGCAACTCTTAGAAATCCCAGGCAACTCAGCTGGTGGTGAAGGCTTCTGGAAATTGCAGTCAAAGAACACCTGGGTTACCCAAGGTTGGGAACCACTATGCTACAATATCTTCCATGAAGTAAGATTTCTTTATTAAAATTATTTAAAAGTGTATTCCTCTGCCATGATAATTTATTGTGATGTGAAAAACCTTAACCTGCCACTGTACTCTTCATAGGCTTGAAAATGAATTCAGAAGTGTTCACTTTTTTTGTTAATTATAACTTACTATGTTATCCAAACGTAACAGATTTGTTATTTTTCTCCAAATAATCTTGAAATCATGACAAATGCGGGAGCAGGTGATATCTTTAATTGACCATTAAGAATATAAAACAAAAAACAAACAAACAAACAGTGAGCTTTTGATGACAAATCATCATCTTCAAGGCTGTGTATCAAGTTCTCATTGGCAGTTCCAAACTTACGTGCTCTTATTAATGTCCCAGATTCACATGGCTGATGGTGCAGACGCCAAGTTAGCTTGTTAGATGGAAATAGCTGCAGCATCCATGTTGATTTCAAGCTCCTCCTCAGCTAGCAGTTTGGAATTTATGACCCATCTCTTAAAACAGGACAGTCACAGGGAATCTACCTCCCCCCACTTTCTCTCTTTGTGCCTTTTTGAAACTTGAAGACTTTACCACCAGGTAAAACTGTTTATTTGGCTTCAATTTGTTTTAACTTGGTTCCTGGTGGTTTAACTAAATTCCTATCCCAGCTCTGTTAGAGGCAAGCCATGCCACTGGGCAGTCTTCCCTCCTTGCTAAAAAGAAACTCTTCGAGTTTTCCTGATTTTTCTTCAAATCATGGTTTATAAAGCCGGCTTGTTCAAGGCAGCCATAATTTATCTCAAGCACAATTCTGAAATTATACAAGAAGCAAGCTACGATCAAGCAAAAGCAGTTTGTAAGTCAGTCCATACAAATTATGCCCTATAGTTAACAACAAACCCAGTTAGAACCAAAATTGTGTCAAGAGAGTGAGAACATTCTCCAGCCTAAGTAATGGCACTTAATGGTTAAATACAGAGTACGATCTGTCTTTCCTCTTATGTGGACTGCTGTACATTCATACAAGTGCAAAGGGGGATACACCTATGTCCAGGAGATGTAAATCTATATACAATGTGATCACAACTTCAGATTACTTTCAATAGCAAGCTCATCTGTGCAGCTTTTAGTGACTTCATAACATGGCTGCTTTTTAAGTTACTCATCACTGTGCATCGCCCTGAGAAAGATTGTGAAATGTAAAGGATTATAGGAGAAAAGCTAATACAGCTGTCTAATTAATAGATTCCCAGGAAAGGTGTCCTGTTGGATTACTATGGAATTGAGGCACTTTATCCTTCTCATCTGTGGCTTGAGGATTTCAGGCTGAATTAATAAATTCTGTGGCATGTGCTCCAGCAAATAGTGCCATGGCTATGTTTAATTCTGTCAATGCTGAATCAGAGCTCACAACAAGGAGGCTTTCAGACTGGAAAAATCTCTACAATACTGGACATCATAAGTAGAAGCAATAGTGCCAGAAAGGTAAGATTTTTTTCAGTATTCTAGAATAAGCTTCAAAATGCATTCTTACTTCTATTTGAATGTATTCACTGCAAATCTTATTCTGGTTTTTTTTTTGTAGTAATTAGTGCTGACATTTCATTGCTCTCAGTTCTTCTGTATAGCAGTGAGTTGATCCAGCTCTACAGTGTTGGAGACATTTGGGAGCAATCAAACACAGGGTCTGGGTTATCTCAAGTAGAGGTAAGGGTTTGAACTGGAGCCAGTCCTGCCACATGCATTGGACCATTCATTGTAAGAGAATGATTCTTTCTGGCAAGGATGAAAACAAACTCTGTCACTGCTCCTTTCCTGGCCAGTGAGTTGGGGCAGAGAAGGTTTCCCCCTTGCAGTGGGCATTCTTCCTGCATAGAAGGAGCTGTAGCTTCCTGGTTATAGTCCTGTAAAACTTTGCTATGCAGTTAACCATCAAGATGGGCATAATGTTTTTCTCTCTCCATCATTTCTTTGTTTCCATTTTGGAA